GTAGAAGTGATACATAGTGTTAAAGATATCACCCCTTAATTGTCAGTTATATAAACCCAAAGCTAGAAAAATGTTATAAACACTCCCTCTAATGTATATTCATTTGCACAGAAATAAAAGCTTTTTACACGGTGCCTGGCACATACTGAATATTTAGTGTAACAGAATGGAAAGGATTTTACAAGTTAGTGCCTTTAAAATGAGGAGATCACAATACGTTTCTGACATGGTATTCCAACTTGGACTCTTATTTTACAATTTAGTTCATTCTCAGTGCAGAAACTGTGGTCCCATGATAGAGAGATTTGAGAATCCTGCACCAAGTACTGCTCATCTTGGTCATTTTGCCTACGGCACTGAGCAAAATTTGTGTCTAGCTTTGACAGTAACAGCAATTACTTCTGTTTTAACAAGAATCATCTAATGCACGAAGGACCTAGTGCACAAGTCTTGTGAGGAGAGGCCGAGGAAACTGAAATTGTTTAGCCTCAAGAAAAGGAGGCCTAGGAGGAGCTTACCCCTCTCTACTTGAAAGGAAGTTGCAAACTGGTGGGAGCCAATCTTCTCTCCCCGGTTACAAGCAATAAAATGAGAGGAAATGGTCTCAAGTTGGGCCAGGGAAAATTTAGATTGGATAGGAGGAAAAATTCTTCAGCAAAAGGATGTCAGGCATTGGAACAAGCTGCCCAGGGAAGTGGTTGGGTCACCCGCCCTGGGAGTATTTAAAAGTCGTGTAGATGTAGTGCTTAGGCACGTGATTTAGTGCTGGCCTTGACAGTGCTGAGTTAATGGTTGGACTCCATGATATCAGAGGTCTTTATAACCTGAGCGATTCTGTCATACTGTGACATAAAGTAAGAGTTGAAACTGTTTATCTGTTCAAATACTACACCGGGAATTCTCCTAACATAACCAAGAACCACCTGAGAAAGTGTTACCTAGTGTTCCTTTTCCTTTTATGGTCCCAGCATGAGATACAAGGAGATAATCATGGTACTTCACAGTCTTCTTTCTCTTTCACACCTGCCTGCCCTTCAATGTAAGTGGTAAAGCCAAGATCTGGGAACTTTGCACCTTGTAGTTTCTGATGCACACATACTGTGCCTTGTTCTTTTTCATGTGTTGTTTTTCCAAAGTAAAAAAAAAAAAAGTTAGAGATGTTCTGTCTGTTTTTCTACAAACTTCTTAAAGGGTGATTGTGGGTTTTTGCTTCTTTGACAAAACACAAGGGTATTTTTATACATTCTTTTTTCAAGTCAGTTGGTGAAAAGAGCTTTCAGTTCTCAGGAGGGATAAAGCTCTAGAAAATGTTGATTTTTTTTCCATCAAAAATATTTTTTACTCATAAGCTATTCTTTCCTTATCTTGATGGAAAAAAAAAAGATCAGATTTCTAGATCAATAATGTTGAAAACAGCAGCAGCAATCATCCTCGATGCATGTTGTTTTCTGGTGCACTTTCATATCTGAGCATTTCCTCATGCTGTAAATATCAGCCTGACTTGCACTCAGGCTTCAACCTCACATCAAGCAACACCAGAAAAAAACAGGGGCTGTTTAAATGCAACAAGGCTTGGAAAAAACAATTTTTTAAAAGTGCCAGCATGTCAAAACATTGAAGGAAAATATTGAAGAGTACCAGCATGCTTCCAGTTTGTCTCTTGCTGCATGTTTTTTCTATTGAATAATCACATCTTCCAGTGCCTAAAGCAGTAGTTCTTTGTATGTAATGTGTGCTTCAGGGCATTCAAAAAAAAAAAAAATTGAAATTATCTGGAGGAAACCCAATCATTTTATTTCAAAGACAAATTAGATTGATCTTTCTTACCATTCTCCATAGATTTCATAGGCATGTTGCTTGTTGAAGTGGTATCAGGCATTTTATATATGATAGCAATTTGCATACGTTCATTAAGCTGCGCTTTGTAAAGCTCTCTGACAGGGGCATTTGATGGATCCTTCTGTGGACTGTATAGCTGCTTTATGTGGAGCAATCTGTTAAATCATGCCTTTGTCCTTCAGATTGTCAGAATCAGTAAGTGAAGCAGATGTTAATAACTGTGGGAGAGTTTGGGGTTTTTTGGTGTTTACAGAATATGGGATAATATGTGAAGGGCATAATGTGTTTGTAAAAGCGACAGCTGGTGTTATTAAAGACAGAAAGTCTGCTACAAGTGAAAACTTTCTCTGGCATCTTGTAGCAGCTCCAGGAGGTTTTTTGGAACAGTCAGGTGGGTGGTCAATTCTAAAATAAACCCTGCTAATATTATGCACAGCAAATTGTATGCTTGTACTTAACACACAATTGTTCTTATCTTTGGTCGCAAACATTCTGTCACAGAGCTATCTCAGCCATGCAATAATTCATAACATTTCTCTGTAAATATGTCATAAGAAATTCCCAGGTCAACAATCCCGTGAAATGTGTCTGTGAGAAATATAATTTCATGCATTATCGAATTAGTAGGGTTTTACACCTGGTCAGTTTGAAGGTTACCTTTATGACACAAATTTTGCAGGACCTGACAGTTCAGTCCCTGGAAACTCTACTTATTGTCAAGGTCGCTCGGCTGAAGATGTTTCAGCCAGGGAACAGCCTATGTTTAGGTGGTTAACATGCTACGTCTGATGGGTGGTAATTCCTGTCAAGATGTGGTGAGATGAGTGCTTATTGTCAGCTGCAGAGGCCTTGCGAGTGAAGGTAAAATGGGTGGTCATAAACTGGGTAAGAAATGAAGGGGATAAATAAGAGGAAAAACAGAGCTTAGGGGGTGCCTCAGGAGAGGCCAGCAGAGGTGGAGGAGCTGATCTCCTCTCCCTGGGGACCAGTGACAGGAGTCAAGGACATGGAGTGAAGTTGCAGGGAAGTTCAGATTGGGCATTATGGAAAGGTGCTTCACTGGGTGAGTGGTCAGTCACTGGAGCAGGCTCCCCAAGGAAATAGTCATGGCATCAAGCTTGTCAGAATCCAGAGAGTGTCTGGACAATGCTCACAGTCGTTTGGCCTAGTTTTAGGTAGTCCTGCAAGGAGCAGAGAGCAGGACTCAGTGATTCCTGGATGCCTTCTATGGGTGCCTTCCAACTGGAGATTTTCTGTGATTCCATGTGGATAAAAGTTGTTACAACGCTAACTTATGAAGAAGTAGAAAAAAGGAAGGCCATTACTGTAGGAAAAAAAGGAGGACATTACTGTAGAAAATAAAGGGTAAACTTTGACCACCTTCTGATCTTGCAGATTTTTATTGGTATTATCTAATAGGTAGCTCCCACTCATTTAAGAGATGGTATTTTGCTGAGATTCACTTTAATGACATTCTCTTTGTGATTATGCATTATTGTGGAAATCTCTTTTGGTGAATTGAGTAGGAGGTGCCAAGGGTGGAGATGTAGTGATGTTACTCGTGCCTGTGTGATTGAATCTGAGCTTCTGAGCCTGGCTTGTCTGCAGCTGATATCAACAGCAGGAATGGCTACACAGTGCATAGAATAAATAATCCTAGAAGTTGTCATGCTTGCAGTGATTGCCTGAAAATATGTAGAGAAGACCAGTGAGGGATTTCTGTTGTTCTTGCACATGAAAGTAGGCAGCAGCTACAAATCAGCGAACTGTTGCTTTTGTAAGAGGAATTGGCAGAATCTTTCATGCTGTTGCTGGATAAAAAATTCTACTGCTTCTGTTCCTCAGAGTGAGTCTTATCTTTCTGTCTGATTATCTTGCAAAAAATGAGCAGTGAAATAATTATCCATGCTGATATTTACATTTAATCTCTCTGCTTGAAAATTACCAGCTCACAGAAGGGAACAGAGGGAGTCCAGGACTCCTTGGGTGGGCTGATCCTTTGGAGAAGCAAATGTCTGCTCTTCAGCTGGGACACATAGGTGCTCCCTACTGGTGACCATTGATGCATAGTGGGCGTAGACAATTCTATAGCTGATTCTCTTTGCCTTCACTGGGAATCATGTGGTAGGTACCAGTAGCACAGCTGCTGTGCAAAGCTCAGGGAAAACTCTGTGCAAAGAAAAGAGACAAGACTTTTTTTTTAATATGGGCTCTTAATTATCTTTAAGAGCTGTGCCTGTGTGAAATGGTGTTTCTTGTTGCAGAATGCAAAGCTGCCAATAGTGCCACCAAAATACTCAATAGAGCATGTACTAATGATGGTGATTATGCAGAACAGAGACCAGACCAAATGCATTTGGACACATGAACTTTCTTCCCAGTTTTCCTTTTCTTTTTTTTTTCTCCTTTGTGTCTTTCCTTGGTCTACTGAGCCTGTTTCTTTCTACTGCTGCATCTTCTTCCTTTTTGCTTTGTTAAGCACATCAGGTTTAATAAATGCATTATGCTCAGGGTCACTGTGTGAGAATCACCAGGAAAATTTACAGAGACTCTGGGACTAATTGTGATTAGGTTTTATATGTATACTTACAAGGATGTACATCCATAATTTCACACCTGTAACAGAACTGCCATGTTCAGCATTTCTGAACATTAAAGAAATAATGCACTTAAGGATACCCTTGATTTTTCATGTGGTTTCCCTATTCATGTCACTGTTCTGCTGCAAGCTAAAGGCAAAATACTCCTTAAATGCACATAAGGATACTTGTGGTTTCCTAAATAATTTATTTTTTCTGATACTGGCAGTTTTTCATACTCAGTACATTGTGTTTGTTTTTTTCATTGCAAATGATTTTAGCAAAATTACTATTTGAAAATCTTGGGGTTTTTTTTGAGTTTTCTACTAATTTTGAACTCATGTGTAGAAGTTCTTTAAGAATCTATACAATATTATATACCTTAAATGTAATGTATTATAAATTACCGTACCATCATTGTTATCACCCACAACATGTCTCAGGTGATGCACAGCTTCAGAAGGACTGGCTCATGGGCTCATTTCTAAGTAGCAATTTTGCACAATATATATATTTTTTCATTTTATATGCTTAAGTCATATACTTTTAATGACTTTAAAAATATATTATCTTTTTTATCAGATCTTGGATTCTGAACTTGAAGCAGTTCTTCAAGATTATATGCTTCTTGAAACTGGGAAAGTATCTGCAATAAATAGGTACGTGTAATGGATACATTCATGCTTTGTGTTGGATGGTTTGGACTGTGTGAGTTTTGTTGACAGTTTAATGCTGCACTCTTACAGCTCTTGATAAATCTCAGCCTCTGTGAACAGGACGCTGTGATGGATCTTTGCAGGCTGAATTTTCAATAACACATGGTTATTGTAGGACAGAAATTTGGAAGGTTATGACGTTCACAGTTGCTCAGAGATTAATGTTTAGCCAAACCCGCAAACTTGAGAGTGAACAAAAAGGTGAGTCTCAACAAGCAAGTAAGAAGTTTTGATGGTAAAATCAGTGAGAGGAAGTGGCTCTTATTTGATCCCTTCCTACCTGAGTCTGTGCTTCACCTGGCTTTACAGCTGTGTTTCCTTTGGGACGTTTTTGCAACTGTTGAAGGTAGTAAATGTATGAATATAACTAAATATGGCAAGGAAATGAAGGTTGAAAACTTGGGTACATTAAAGTTTCTGGAAATTTTCTTCTTAAGTGTTTCAGTGATGCTCACATCTTACTTCAGTCATTTACAGAAAATATTCAGGCAATTCCAGAAATACATTCTTGCATATAACAAAGCAATTTTCAGGTGATTTCTTTTTTAAAAGTCAGATCACACTTTATGGTTCTTGGAGCTCTACTGAACTCCTAGCAATGGAGAAAGTTGAATGAGAGAAGATTTAGAAGTTCTTATTCTTTCAAAAGAGTTCATAGACCTAGGCAATTTTTTTGAGATTCAGTTCAGTTGGAAGGAGTGAAAGGTTTCTTGAATACTGGATGTAACAGCTGGACTTACCTTGATCTGTGTGAGAAACTTTGAAGAGATTTAAAAATGGGGAGAGGTTAAATGCTTATGCATGAAATTCACAAAAATGGATTTTTGCACTAAGTTGCTTATTCTGTAAGAATTTGAATGCAACACATCTTCATAGCAAGCTTCACCTGTAGGTCCCAAGATATTTAGCGAAAGTGAAATAGCTAAATTTTAGCAAAAGCTAAAACAGAGAAGAACCGTTGTCTCCAACTTATGCATGGGGTCAGGTACCTTCCTGGATCACCTAATGTCCTATTGCTGAGCTCCTGGATGTTCAGACCTGTGTCCAGGCCTGTCAGAGGATCCCGTGGGATGTCTAATCATCCTTTCAGAGTGTGTGCAAAAGATCAATGTTCCGATGTTTATGTTTTCCTAATATTTCTCATATCTATTGGTGTGCCCTTACTGCTCCCTTTTGTGATACATTCCTTGACTCTCATGTCTTCTGCTTTTTTTCTACTCTGCTTTCTTATTTTGCTTTCCTATGTTTCCTCCCCTTCTTAATTCATTTGCAGTCTCTGGAGATATTAGCTGTAGTGAGACCTTACACAAGGAGGAGTTTCAGGAAAAAAAAATCATAGCGAAATGAGCTTTCCTTTTACTGCCTCTCTAGAGAGCCTGCTGTAAAAGGCAACTTGCTGTCATTCCTGTAAATTTTCTTTTGCAGCCAGCTCTGCTGGGTGTCCCCTTTGTGCCCTGTGAACATCTGTGTTGCAGCTTACGTCTGAACCCAACTGGAGAGCAAATGTGTGAACCTGCTTCTTATTTTGAGCAGGAAGCTGCTGCTATTAGTAAGGCACGTGGCCCTGCTTCACCTGTGACTTCTTCATCCCCAGCTGGGAGAGAGCCAGCCGTCTGGATTCTCCCCTCCTGCCAGCCATGCCCTTGTCCCTGGGGTAGCAAGTTTACCTGCTTTCCTCCAGACACTGTCCAGTGCCTGTCGTTTTGCAGCATTCATTTTCTCCCTGAATTTTCCCCAAGGTGTCATGCAGGAAGGAAGAAAGGAGTGAACACTGCAGGACTTTGTGATATAACTTACTTTCTGCTGCTCCTGAAAACTTCTCCTTGCATGCACACAGTCATGCAGGCACCACCTTTCTGCATAAGCAAGAAATCCTTAATCCTTGAAGTATTCAGGCTCCAGGGATGCTGGAGCAGAAGAGAAAGCTTTCATTTGCTAGGCTGTGCATAGGGGTTCCAGGAAACGTCGACAATGTTTCTCTGCCAATTTTGGACACAGCCCAAGACAGCTCACTGAGTATAAATTAGGAACTTCAAACAGACTTGCTTTAGCCGACTTTTTACTTTAAAAAGGGGAAAAAAAAAAGGGGTGAAGAAAAGGAAGCAGCAGTGCTGCCCAGTTTGCAAAAGTGCTATCCCACCTGGGTGTGCTCAGGAGTGCTTGAAGTGTATAGGTGGTGAGCTGAGTCTCTGTGGCATATGCGTGTCTCCAAGGGAAAAAGGAAATCTGTTGTGTCAAGTTGGCTTCAGCTTTCGCTCCAAGGGCTGTTGTGACAAGCCTGGAAGGTGCAGGAACTTTTGTGAAAGATCAGGTGTGATAGCAGAGAGTGACTGTAACACTTGGGGGGAGGAAGCTGGAGTATTTGAGGTCAGGCTAAGTCGGCAGCCGTCAGCAGGCAAGGGAACACAGCTGATTTAGCAAGAGCATGCACCAATTCAACAGCTTTCCTCGGATATTTGGGTTGGACTAACTCAAAATTAGCAAATTCCTGGCTGACATTGCTGAAAAGGCTACTGGACAACTTTGTTTTCCTTGTCATTAAATGAGCTCCCTTGCGGTAGAAGGGTATGTGAGTTTCAGAGCTTTTCAAGCCAGGTTAGAAAAAGCTGGCCCCTTTCTTTCCAAAACTATCCATCAAGGCAGTCCCAATGCACCCCAGACATCTCTGGGTGTGTGAATCCTGTGCAGGCAATGGTCTCCCCTGTTCATTTTGTGAATGCATTTGTTATGGAGAGAAGGGCTGGTCTGGCTGATTGTATGGCTGTAAGTGCTGAACAGCAAAAAATTTTAAACAAAAAAATCTGGTCCTCTTTAAACATTGGCGGACAGATATCCATCTTCCATCTGTGGCAGCCTGTGCCAAACAGCAGAAGAACTGCAAAGTTAGTGTTCTGAAACCTCAGAGGAATAACTGGCACGCTCCAACTTTTTTTTTTTTTAAACTTCACACAAATCTGAAACGTTAAACACAGAAAGTAAAGTTAAATGTGACAAGCAGGCAGAAAGTTCAGCTAGAAAGGCTGTGCATGGAGCAAAGCCCTGGCACCGGGCATGAAGCCCCTCAGCACTACTGCACAGGCGTTGCTGCCGAGTGACAGCAGGCAGTGTTCACCCATTGTGGAGGCTGCTGTCCTTTGGTGTCCCCTCCCCTAGGGGCCAGGGAGGTGGCTGGGAGCCTTGAAGGACTGTCTGCCTCACATGACCCTTCCAGAGGTGCAGAGTGACTTACACCATGTTGAGATGTGACACTTGGAAGGGGGACACTGAATACATACTCTATGCCAACTAAGCAAATTAGTTTTCTTCAAAGAAAAAGAAGGCATTCTGATCAAACAAAGAACTTTCAGATACCAACTGTCAGGAAATAGTCTGAATTTTGCACTGAGCTATCTTAAAAACACAAATATTTTACCTCTTTGGAAACACTTTCAAACTGACTTTTTGCTTAGTAGTATTACCAGGAAAAAGTAATGCATGGATCTTCTATTCTGTAACCAGCAGGAAAGTAGTACTTCTGTCTTATCCAACCATGATTTGATAGAAAAGTTTCTCTGGACACACTGCTGGCTTATGTTCAGCTGGCTGGTAACCAGCACCCCCAGGTCCTTTTACACCAGGCAGCTTTCCAAACCATTTCTTCCAAAGCCTGTAGCATGGGGCTGTTGTGACACAAGAGCAGGACCCAGGACTTGGCCTTGTTGAACCTGATACAATTGTTCTTGGCCCATCAATCCAGCCTGTCCAGATCCCTCTGCAGAGTCTTCCTGCCCTCCAGCAGCTCACCATTCCCACCCAACTTAGTGTCCTCTGCAAGGAGACTGAGGGTGCACTTGATCCCCTTATCCAGACCATTGATAATGATATTAAGCAGAACTGTTTAATCAATTAGACTGAGATATTTGGTCTGTTCTTGTTCTTACTTGAGACTGCATCCAAAAGGGACTGTTTTCAGTGAGCTTGAATCAGTCTCATGGAGCAGCTGGGAAATAAAGCAGGACTGTGCATCAGCCATTAGGAACTGGGCAGTAGCAATTTGCTTTGGTTAGAGAAACTGTCAGCTTTTAGCAGTTCCCTGTTAATATTTAATTTGCTTCCCCATCTAGGTACGCTGTTTTTAGTAATATGCACCTCTGCTGTGTTGTCCCTTTTATCAATCAAAGTTATTTTGCTTTTCTGACTTGACATGATGTTGCATCTCTTTGTCTCCTTTGGCAGAGCTAGGAAAATGTGTGTTTATGATAGGTGATTACAAGGACACCACTTTGGTACCTGGGAGCAACTTTTCTCCTAATTCACTGGAGTGGTGGTGGCTGAGTCCCACTGCTAAACATGCCATATGCTACCCAGTAACACATGGTGCTAATAATTGGGGATGTCAGTAATGGGTGACACAATTGTCAGACTTAAAAAATAAAGCACTAATAAGGAGCTTTGAAATAGTCTTGTTTAAGATTGGCTGCTGTTTGTAACATCGTGAATTCTGAACAGGAGTTTAATTCCAAGTGCAAGAAAAAGAAGGAAAATGAAGGCATTTCTGCTTAAATGGATTAATGAGTTTGAGTATGGAAGAAAGCAGCATTCCCCTATGGCAGTGTGCTTTGTCCATGTTACATTGCCCACCTAGCTGTCTGTCACCTGCATGGATCATTTCAGTAGACATCCCAAACCTCCCCTGCAGAGTCACTGCCTGTCACTACATCCTCTGCATGCATGGGGTGTAGATGATAAATGTCCAAGTGGGATTTTTAGCTCGAACACTCAAGAAAGCAATGCCAACAATGAAGAAAATTGATACAAGCTTGAGGAAAATGTTTCCAAATTGGAGAGGCAGGTGCACACTTGTGTGGTGCTTTTTGTGTAGATACTAATGATGCCTCCCGTGCATCCCAATGTGTATCCCTGTTCACTGTGCAAGGGTTGGATCTGGAATCCTACCCACACAG